CGACATCTGGTGGTGGTGTGGAGATGACAAATTGTTTGACAAACTTCCATGTAACACCACTGGATTATATGCTGCTGTCACCTTGATTTGAACTTGAAATAACAAATCTTTTCTTGGCCTACCATGGTGCGAGATGTTTCAACTTGTACACTCTTTGGAAAGAAGTCGTTTATCATGTCATTTCAGGTTAGGGTATGTGATAATATCTCTGCTACCATTACCTGACTAAATCTAAACGTTTACATCTCCCTATCACCTTCCCAGTATTTTATACCTTCTGATGATTTTTTTTTTACTATAGTTCCACTATGTTAGTGGAAAAGTAAACACATGGACCTTACCTGAAACATTAGAGACATCTACATGGCAGTTTTTATAGAGCACTGCACTTTGAAGTCATTAGGCGAATTTCACAACTACAATTGAGAAACTGCACATGACTGGTTTAAATTGTTTTTTGAACATTTTAAGGTTGGACTATAATAATTCTTTACTATCAGGAAGTCCAAAAACTGTAGTTAAAAGACTTCAACTGATCCAAATTGCTGCAGCCAGAGCTCTGATGAAAATAAAAAAGAGAGATCATATCTCTCCTATCCTGGCTTCTCTTCATTGGCTTCCTGTTAAATCAAGAATAGAATTTAAAATCCTCCTTCTCACATATAAAGCCTTAAATGGCCAAGCTCCATCTTATATCAGAGATCTGATTGTTCCTTATGTTCCTAAAAGAGCACTTCGCTCTCAATTTACTAGTGGTTCCTAGAATTTCTAAAGTAGAATGGGAGGCAGATCTTTTAGTTATCAGGCTCCTCTCCTGTGGAACCAACTACCAGTTTTAGTCCATGAGGCAGACATCCTGTCTACTTTTAAGGGAAGGCTTAAAACTTTCCTTTTTTGATAAAACTTATAGTTAGAGTGGCTCAGGTTATCCTGAGCTATCTCTGTAGTTATGCTGCTATAGGCTTAGACTGCTGGAGGACATAGGGACCCCTTTTTCATCTATTTTCAGCTATCTCTATTCTTCCACTCTGCAGTATCTGTTAGTTCAATCTCTAACATTCTGCTCTTTCTTATTCTCATAGTAGCTTCATCTGGTCTGTTCCTGTTTGGCTGTGACTCCATCCGGGTGAGAAATATCAGCTGTGCTGCTTCCATCAACACCTTTGTTTATAGATGCTGGAACTCGGCCTGTTTTTCTGTGTAGCCCTGTTTCTCTGACTGTGACTGGCTGGATGTGCTCTCTTCATCATCTGACATGGGAGCTGGCTCAGAGCTCGTCTGCCTGGTTGTGTGTTTCCTGGACGGGGCTGGCTTTTAGAGGTTGCCTTTTGTATCTCTGCTTCTGTCTCTTTGAACCCCAGTCGGACTCGGCAGATGGCCGCTCACACTGAGCCTGGTTCTGTTGGAGGTTTCTTCCTGTTAAAAGGGAGTCTTTCCTCTCCACTGTCACTACAAGCATGCTTGGTGAGAGGCGTTGCTGAAGAGTCAATGAGTCGATGCAATCAGCTGGTTTTCCTTAAATAGAAAACTTTGAATAAATCTGATTGGATGATCTGGTTGAATCGTTTCTGTAAAGTGCCTTGAGATGACGTGATGTGAATTGGAGCTATAGAAAGAAACTGAATTGAATTGAATAGATTATAAGTAACTTGTGGTGGATAGAAGAGCTTTGAGGGCCAGATATCTTTCATAAGTTACAAATAAATCCTTCAAAAACCTTCAATAAAAAAAAAAAGTTCAATAGATCCCTATTGAACTTTTTTTCCCCCTCATTTTGTCTCCCATTGTTTAAGTGTAGCTCTCGCATTCTCTGTATGGCTCTAAACATCAGTGTTAAATCTAACTTTAAACCACCAATCTGTATAGCAGGTGAGTGAAATTAAACTATTGGGTGTTACTTTAGATCAAACAATGTCTTGGTTTTCACATTTAGCAATTTAGCAGAAATATCTCATTATTTGGAAGCAATGCCAAATATATGTCAATCAAAACAAGAAAACGTGTAATACAGTCTTTAGTTTTATGTCACTTGGATTACTGCTCTACTATGTGGTCAAATGCTGCTCAAAAAGACTTCAGCAGACACCAGATAGCTCTGAATGAGACAGCAAGACTGGCTCTGGGATGTACATTTGGATCCGTAGGTGCTGTCTTGCATCAGAGACTTTCATGGATGAGATTGGTTTGTTGTTCTTTGGTGTCTCTGCTCTAAACCTGAGCCTACTAAATGCAGACACAGGCTTAGTACGAGACAAGTTGTTAATCTGAGTTTTACTCTGCCTTTTCCAAGAACTAATGCATTAATAACACATTTATATAACGCACCATCTCTCTGTGGAATATTTTATGTTTAACTAGGGACAACATAATGTATGTTTTTGCTTTGTTTTACCGTATTTTCACGACCATAAGGCGCACCGTACTAAAAGGCGCAGTCTCAGTTATGTGTCCCATTTCTGTATTTAACACACACATAAGGCGCACCGGACTATAGGGCGCGTTTTTTATATACAGGTACATGTCCTCTACTACGTTTAAATACCTCTACTGCATATTTAAAAATACAGCGGGGGCAAAACTGAGTATGACTGTGCTTTATTCATGTATTTATTACATAGTATTAATCAAACCTGGGAGCTGGCAGTGAGACAGACACATCGCAGATGACGGAGCGCTGTGATCACTCCTAAATTAACTTAAAATCCTGAAACCTGCCGACGGAATATGTTCGCTTTTATTACCGGTATCCTGGTGCCTGCAGTTTAAATTATTTAGATGAAAAACACCTGCCAGCCACCGCGGTGAACCTGGAGGCTGCCCAGCCTAGAGGCTGCTGTTGAAGGGATTTCTACTGTCGGTGTACCGCTGGTATGTGGGGGTCTGAGCGCCTCCGACAGAAATAGATAATCTGGATGAACTGACTGCAATTATTAAGTTTTCAGGTGGACTTTCTCACTTAAAAACATATTAAAACTACTTTATTCCCACTGATCACAGAAAATATAGCTGCAAGATTTAGATTATTTAGATGAAAAAACACCTGCCAGCCGCCGCGGTGAAGAGGAGGAGACCCGCCCAGAGGCTGCTGTTGAATTAAGTGTTCAGGTAGAAAAATAGAGCGGGAGCAAAACTGAGTATGATTGTGCTTTATTCATGTATTTATTGCAAAGTATTAATCAAACCCATCAAAGTCATCATCCTCTGTTTCTGAATTAAACAGCTGCGCTAAATCAGACATGCCAGTTTCCCCTTCTTCGCTGTCAGTCACTTTCCGTGCAGCGCAGCTCCTCAGAAATAATGCTGGCTTTTGCGAAAGCTTGAACAACAGAGCCAGCAGACACGTTAGCCCAAGCATCTACAATCCATCCGCAAACGGTGGCGTAACTTGCCCGGCGCCGCCTTCCACTTTTCGTGAAACTGTGGTCTCCGTCTGTCATCCATCGCTCCCACGCCGCTCGCAGCCTTACTTTGAACGGCCGCTTCACACCGATGTCGAGCGGTTGAAGTTCCTTTGTCAGACCCCCCGGGATAACGGCGAGCACAGCGTTCATTGATTCACCTTTTTTTTCACATCGGCTGCGAGATGGGCACGCAGCGATGGTGATGCGTGGAAAAAACCACCTGGTCTCCTCACATACACCTGCCTCAGCCACGCTTTCATCATCTCCTCATCCATCCAGCCTTTTTCATTTGTGTTAATATCATATGTCATCAGAGCGCTGTGTCTCTCTCGCTGTCAGCTCCCAGATCAGCTTCTCTGATGCGGCGCGTCCAGCAGCAAAACTTCAATTTTTCCATCTCGAGCAGCAGCAGCGCGTTGGCAGATGCTTAAACGCTCCTGACGCGCTGCGCCTGCTGCTCAAAACGCGCTGCGGGACCTTTTGCTGCGCCTATACGCGCGTCAACCATTGACTTTGCATGTAAACTCGCTGCTTCTGCTGCACCTGCTGGGTCCGGTTCACACCGATGTCGAGCGTTTGAACAGCGAGCACAGCGTTAATTTGTTTCCCCATGTTTTTCACATCAGCTGTGAGATGGGCACGCATGGAGTTACATATTAACAGCGATGGTGATGAGTGGAAAAAAAACACCTGGTCTCCTTACATTCAGCCACTCTTTCATCATCTCCTCAATGAGGTGGTCTCAAAAGTCGCAGTTACAACACACATAGGGCGCACCGCACCATAGGGCGCACCGCACATTTTGAGGAAAAAAAAAGACGTTTAAGTGCGCCTTATAGTCGTGAAAATACGGTATTTTGATTTAATAATGTTGTTTCTACTAGTGTTGCACCGATACCGATACCAGTATCGGGTGGGGCCCCGATCTAGCACTAAAATGGTGGTATTGGTATCAGCAAGTACCAAAAAATAGGTTAGCAATACCATTTTGAGAGCCAAAAGTTTATTCAACTATTGTCACCTATTCCAGGTAGGCAATTAAAAGTTCTACTGGATTCAGTTTGTATTAGTTTTTTTCCTGCTTCACAAAGGTAGGCAGCAGCTTGACAAAGCCATGGTGGCAATTATTTTACATCCAAGTAGTATGCACTTCTTCAGATATACACACACATCAATTTCAAACAGATGGTATCGGTATGGTATCGGCATCAGCCAATACTGCACAGCCAGGTATGGGGTATCGGTATCGGAGCCAAAAAAATGGCATAGACAACACTAGTTTCTACTGTAAGTTTTCTGCACTGATTGTGATGTTTTATTGTTGAAAATGGACCCCAGGAAGAGTAAAGTCTCTGCTCTCGTAGAGACTAATGGGATCCTTAAATAAATAATAATTAATAATTTTTTTTACACATTCAGCAAATGAACAAATACTTTCTTTCACCCCACACTAGGAAAAGTGAGCACCCTGTGCAAATGGAGCCGTCGTGCTGTGCAAACATTAAAACGACATAACCTATCAGAAGCAGAAGCCTTTTCCTGTTCAGCCTGCATGACCAAATCAGGACCCACAGGTTGCACACATGCATGCTGTCACACATTTAACAAACCTGCACAAGCCTGAGAGGTAGATTTCATTCCAGAGAGATGAAAAGAAAGGAACCATTGCAACAAACTACTTAACAGTACACAGCATACTGAGCAGGGAACAGATGGGGAGCATGTGGTTAACCGTTTGCTGTGCTTTATTCTTCAGTGTTCAGGTAAGACAGAAAGGTTTTACTTTCTTCAGCAGCTTGCTTCAGTGCTAACTACAGCATCTGGATAATGAACAAAGACCCACAGTCTGTTTAGAAAATATCAGTAACTGTTATTTATTGCTGCTTTTTCAATTCAATTCATTTTAGTTTATTTCAAAGTTTTCTATCTAAGGAAAACCAGTTGATTGCATCGACTCATTGACTCTTCAGCAATCCCCCACACTAAGCACTTGTAGCGACAATGGAGAGGAAAAAGTCCCCTTTAACAAGAAGAAACCTCGAGCAGAATCCTTTTTTAGTTTTTTCTTACCAAACATTTCATGACAATTATAACTTGGGTCAATAATAATAATAATAGTGCATGTCCCTGATTGCGTTTCTGTGATTTTAGGGGGTTTCACTTAATCAGAATCAGAATTACATTATTAATCCCTTGGGGGAAATTCTTTTCCTGCAAAGCAACTGTTTACAGAAGATAGAAAAATATGATTGTATGTAAAATAGAACAAAATAGAGTAAATTAGACATAATAAAATAAGTAAAATTTGTAAGAATACACTCCTAACAGTAAAATGACACCCTTCCAATATAAACACTGTAAAATAAGATAAGGATAAGAATGACCAAAGGCAGGAATGATGTCCTGTGGTGCAGCTTGGTGAAATGAGTCTCTGACTGAAGCTGCTTCTGTGGGCGACCAGCGGACTTCTGTCTTGACTGTCTCAGATGTCTTATCTAAACATAAAAAAGATTGCATAACATCCTCTGCATTCTAACAGGTTTGCACAGAAGCCCAATAATTACCTGTTCATTTAAATGTGGTCAGTCATGATTTTATGCCTATAGAATAAAAGAAAAATATCCTTAATAACAAGGGGCTGTTACTCCCATAGACATAATATAAGAGTAAACCCCGCATTGACTGTCGCGGCGCAGGAATTTTCGGGTGCCATCTTGGGGAGGTCGACCTGCTACCCTAACCTGCTGCTTTAAGCAGAACAGAAGAAGGATGCCTCAACACTGTGACAGATTTTTTTCTAAATCAACAGGTTGTTAACATCAGACCTCGAGGGATAACTTCATGAAGTCATCAGAGCTTTGGAAGACATTACTAAATAAACAGCAGATATACACTACATATAATAGAAACTCCCTTTGTTGTCCCACAGTGGGTAAATTGTGGCATTCCAGCCGCAAAAGATTACCGCACAAGTGGTCACACAAATTTATTAAGTACCTTATAATTTGCATAAAAATAATCGAACAATTGACAGAGTAAAAAAAAAAAAAATATGATCCAGTTTGTTCAGCACTTAAAAAAAACACAGCTGACCAAAATGCTGTAAATAAAAATAAATGAATAAAACAAACTTTATAAATAAAAACACAAAACAGCCAAAACATGTAAATACTGCGCATCTGAAGAATTGTTTGAAAATGTTACAGTATTTAACAATATTTTTTACAGTATATAAATATATATAAATTATAATTATATATATATAAATATATATTTGAGGATACCTGTATAAATATGTTTCTGTATATAGTAAAAAAAAACACTAAGAATATTAAATAAACTGAACTATTTTTGTGTTTTCACCAAAAAAAAAAACAAAAAACTAAACTGTGAAAATAGGTTTGATATTCAGAGAGTTAAAGTTGATTAAAACTGATCCTGTTCCTGCTCAAAAAATACACCGACCGGATGGGTCGACCGCCCCAAGATGGCGCCACCAAATCACGTCGGTGCTCATAGAAAAAAGCGGTTGCTGCGATGTCTACTCTTATATTATGTCTAATATTTTTCCATTCCAAGCGTGTTTTGTCCTTTTTGGCCATAATGAGCAGATCTAAATAGACATGTACGCTATCTGCTGGCAGTACTGCAGAACTACCAGAAATACAGATTATGACAAATGATGCAGCTGCTAAACGGCCATCCTGGAAGGCCTCATGATAAGGTGCAAAGAACCAAGGAGCATCAAGGTCAGAAATATTCCTATGAAATAAAGAAAAAGAAAAAAAAGGCATGGGCTAAAAATCTTCCATTGAAATGAGCGTAACTTAAACACATGTAAATTCTACTTTCCCGTAAATGCATTGTTGATGTGGCCTGAATTTATACAACTTTTCATTTTCTACTCCTTACAATTTAAAAAGGGACTCATTCGTTTTGTTTCATTTCAGCTCATTTTCATTATGTCCTGTTGGTATTTAAAGAAAATAAAAATCATCAAAATAATCAGTTTAATTCAGACACTCAATTTATTTTTGGTTGGACTTAGTGCTGCCCCAACTTGTTTTTCACCACATACCAAAATAAATATAATTTACTGTTACCATTAGTTAAAAAACTAAGAAAATGGACTATAAGGATGTTATCATCCAGAATTGTAGAAAAATGTTCCTTTTAAATAAAAAAATAGAAACAGAAATTGATCTTACAATATAGAAATTCACTCTCTGCATTTAACTCATCTCCTTGGGGAGCAGTGGGCTGCCACAGTATGGAGTTAAGGGTCTTTCTCAGGGACCCAGAGTGCAGGCTATGGAGATCAAACCAGGTTCTTGCAACCTTATCAGAGCACAGACAAAGTGCTCTAATCCACTAGACCAACACTCCCTGCCAGGGTGGTGAAGTAATGCTTTTTAAACAGTAGGATTTATACTAGAGTAATAAACATCAATACTTTGGAAACCTCTGGGTACCATCGTACGAATTATATACAGCACTAACTCCTCAGTCAACATAAGTAAATGACAGTAGCATTGGTATCATTAATATTTTTATTAATGTTATTAATGCTCACATTCATTAACTTTGCAGTGACATCTGAATGCATCCACAGCTTTAGCTTCCCCTACATTCAACACTACCACTCAGACTGCTGGGAGCTCCACACTCACTGGCTCCATTGCTTTCCAGTTAGACACATACACTGCATCATAACTCTGGACATATCTCAACTTCTGCCTGTGTTTTGAATGGTTAGAGTGTCAGTTTTGGGCCCCCCTCTGTGCTGGGCCTGGGACAATTGACCCGTTTGTCCCCCCTGTCGGTGCGTGTGAGTACGAGCGACTGCCCTATTAATTTGAAGAGTCATATTTTGTGATTATCCCTTTAAGTTTGGCAGCAAGGAGGAGGACCATCTGGTCTAAAATGATAACGGCACTATAAAAAAAAAAATCACGTTATCACAGAAAAGTGATCGACACAAAAAATCAAACCTGCACCAAAACACAAAACGTGGAGTCAAAGAGCTTTATAAAAATTAATTCACACTCTAAGGGGTGCACTTTTGTAAAAAACCTGTTTTTCTTCTACAGGCTTTACCAGTGCAGCTGACTGAAGAACCATACTATGACATCTGCTTTGAATCCAAATTACTTACTTTCACGGTTACTGAAAAGGTTCTGAAACCAGGCATGATACTTGGAAAAGGTGAGAAGAAGTCTTTTATTCTTTGGTTTGGCCCAGCTAGCAGTTATGTTCTACTTAAAGATCTAAGGATAATTACGTATATCTCCAGTAATACCTGCTGATGTCCCCTTATGGGAAAGACAGATATTTTATTCTTTCTCTTGTATTCTCATAGAACTTTTTTTTTGGATTCACCTTCATTTGGCAGCAGATGGGGATTTACCATTAGGGAATACTAGCCCCAAGTTCTTGGGGCCCCATACTACTCCTTTTACATGTATGGTTAATACAACTATTCCTTATTTGTGCACATTAATTATGTTTTTGATAAAAATCCTTTTTGCTAAGATGCCATCAGAACCCTTATAGTAGTAGTGGTAGTCCACCGCTTAAGAAGTCAGTTAGTAACGAGCCAACCAGCCACAGGTGTGTGGGAGGACCAACGAGCACAGGGTGCCACCTGGTGGTGGAGGGGAAAAACACAAAAGCACAACCCACACAGACTGGATTCCTAACAAAATTTAGTTTAAGTAAACTTAAGCACACCGCAATCAGCTGTAATCAGGGCTGTCAGGCAACACAGGCTATGAGGGTCAAAAAAAGAAAAAAGGAAGAATAATAAATATGCATATAAATACAATAATTGCACATGACTAATTAACTTGATATCAATTCAATTCAGTTCTTTTCTATAGCGCCAATTCACAACACATGTCATCTCAAGGCACTTTAGAGTTCACCAGATCAAACAGTCAAATTGATTCAGTTTTCTATCTAAGGAAAACCATTTGATTGCATCGACTCATTGACTCACAGGCAATCCCTAACACTAAGCATGCTTGTAGCGACAGTGGAGAGAAAAAACTCCCTTTTAACAGGAAGAAACCTCCAGCAGAACCAGGCTCATTGTGAGCGGCCATCTGCTGAGGCCGACTGAGGTTTAAGGAGACAGAAGCACAGATACAAAAGGCAACTGTCAATCAGCTCCACAGGCGGCCCCTTCCAGGAAACACACAGCAAGGCAAACGAGCTCCAAACCAGCTCCCATGTCAGAGGATGAGGAGAACACATCCAGTTAGTTACAGTCAGAGAAACAGGACTACACTGAAAAACAGGCCGATCTCCAACATCTATAAACAAAGGTGTTGATGGCAGCAGCAGAGATGATATTTCTCTCCAGGGTCGAGTCACAGCTAAACAGGAACAGACAAGGTGAAGCTACTATGAGAAAAAGCAGAGAGAGCAGAACGTTAGAGATTAAACTAATAGATTCTGCAGAGTGGGAGAATAGGGATAGAATGAAGCAGAATGATGAAATGGGGGTCCTTATGTCCTCCACCATTCTAAGCCTATAGCAGCATAACTACAGAGATAGATAACGATAACCTGAGCCTCTCTAACTATGAGCTTTATCAAAAAGGAAAGTTTTAAGCCTAGCCTAAAAGTAGACAGGGTGTCTGCCTCACGGACTAAATCTGCTAGTTGGTTCCACAGGAGCCTGATAACTACGGTAACAGAATTGATTCCAAAATTCTTATATTTGTTTCTAAATGCGGGAACGGCCTTGCACCACTGCGTTTATTAGACTTGATTCATCCTAATCAGCCTACTGTACATAGTAAGCGTATCAACTGCTCTTGGCTGTTCCAAGGTTGAGGCTGAAATTTTGATCTTTGCTGTAGCACCTCTATGTTGTGAAACAAGTTGGCCAGATTGCCCAATGGCCCAATGGCCAGACCCACCTTGGTAGAGATCCTTTTAAATTAGATACTTGGCTTCTAGCTTACTTATCTTCAACGTCTCTCAGCTGATTTCACCCCCAACTCTCTGCCTTTAATCCTCATTGCTGGATTCATACTGCATGAAATTTAAAACTCAGAAGCTGCCTGCTAATCTTATTATTATTGTATGTGCGTGTGACCATTGGGAGCATAGCTAGATCTATAGTTACCATAGATCTAGCCCACCAAGCAAAAATTGGTTGAAAAGACGTTGAAAAGGCATTTAAAAGATGACATGACTTACGTCTACACGACGTCTACATTCAGTTGAAAAGTAAAAGGTGAACAGCTTTAAATTCAGATTGTTGAAAAGACGTCAAAAACTGGTCTTGTTATGTCTTTTCACCGTCTATTATTGGTATAAAGTGAGACAAAATCAGACCGACCAAACAGCCCAATTTTTCAACAACTATTTCTGGAATAAGTCAAGATGTAGATGTCTGCTGCACATTAGAGCAATGAGGAGTTGATTTGAACAATGCAAAAGCTTTAAAGGGAACAGCTAACGTTTTTCCTTCTGTTTCAGTGGACCACTCCGATTGCACTGACATCATGACAATTGGTTCCATCTCTAATGATTTCACTTTCATGGCTAAACAGGACGGGATATTAAGGGTAAGGAATGTTTCATAAATTACAAATGCTCATGTGAAATGAATTGAATTAAGAATTTCCTATCTGGGTGACATGGTTTGTTTGACCAAACCTCAGTATTTAAAGCCCATTACAAACCAGTATCAAATTTAGTCTTTAAATTGCTCCTGAACATCAGGACAGTAATCAGTTTAAGGTTTAACTTTGATTACTGGACTAGGGTTTATTCACAGGAAAGTACAAACGGATGAAAGAAACAAACAGGACAATAGTTCATAATTTTATATTTTATTTGACTCACACAGAGAAAGGGCCATCAATATGTCTATGTTCCTATGTTCCCCTTGGAAGACAGCTGCTCTTAGTTTTGCATGTCAGTTATGAGGGATTGTTATAGAATCAATAGGTGCATTACCATAACAATTGTGGACAAAAATATGTTGATATTCTACTTATAAGCAACAGCTGTAAGCAACAGCCTAACTATAGTCTAAGGCGGCCCCTAGTAGAACTGATAAGGAATGCAAAAACACCAACCATAGCAACACTATAGATCCAGACTCCAACACCCCTAACAATGGTCTCCTCCAGATGGCCCAGTTGAAAATGTTCAAGTTCGATTTGTGAGACATGGGCTGTGTCCGAACACCAGCCATAACCCCTGAATAACTCCATCACTATACAGAGCGGGGACAATACAGTGGACTTTATAGAGAACTCAGTTAACTGAATGTTCAGACAGAAGATCACTACTTTTTGCATCCCATTTGTCATGTAACTCCGCCTCCCCAGACGGTGCCTGCACCATTTTTGTTATTTGGGCAGCGACAGCCATAGGTGACAGTGGGGCGCTGTGACAAAATAATCCAATGATGCTTGGTGAGGAGAGCTCACGATGGAGATAATCCATTTTGTTATCCAGTGAGCGGACATTGGAGAGCAGGATTAATGGGATCAGTTGTCTGTGGGGAATCTTAGATTTGCCGTTAGCCTACCTCTGCAGCCCCTCTTTTGCCTCCTCGCACTTCGCTCTCTCCGGCCCAAACCCTAGCCAGCCTGGTCCCTGGGCCCACTGTATTGTTTACATCTGTCCCAAGCAACTGTCAACATTGGCTGTATTTAAGAGTCCAGAAACAAAATTTAGTGACCGAAGCTCAAGCAGGCGCTGGCAGTCGTAGATGCAAGATTGATGCCTTATTTGCAGAGTTCTAAGCTGGGTATTTTGTGGAGTTGTCAAGACATGTATCAAGCCACTGCCTACAGGCGCAGCCATGTTCCTGATTCTTACCAAAATTTGGACTTTGCAACTCGGAGTCAGAACCTCTTGAGGCCTGGAAGAGTTTTGAATCCTTATCTGGTGTTATCCTGTGCTAATTTTACTATGGTGTTTCTCATCCAGGTAACATCTGAAGTCGTTCTTCATGAGGGCCATCGGGACTTCTCTATCTACTCGTTGGGTTCAGAGGCTCAGTGGATCATTACTTTAGCCAGGGTGGTGTATGATGGCCATAATCACAATATGACCACTGAGGTGGACGCTACCAAAGAACCGGTAGGTGTCGATATGGGCCAGAAAATGTAATTTTTTATTGTTGAGAATAGTTCTTCTGATTTACCTTAAGAAAGCTCACATTACCACGGATCTCTGCTTTTTGTATTTTTTAAACTAATTCAGTGATATTTTCTGTGAAACACTGCCACCTTGTGGCTGGATTTAGCATTTGCTGTTACCACATGGCTATCAGTGCTGAGCTGACATTCCTTCTTTCTTCACTAAAATACTTTTGTGAGAGCTTGAGATAATAACCTGCTACAACTGCTTCATTTGAACTCATATTAGGAGTTTCCTCTCTAAAGGCATTTTTAGTCTTTTAACTTCTGTCAGTGAGCCCCAGGGCAGCTGTGGCTACAATGTAGCGTGCCACCATCAGCATGTGAGTGTGAATGGGTGAATGACGCAATGTAGTGTAAAGCGCTTTAGTCAAGTCCTCTGGCTTAAAAAAGCAATATATTAGTACTAGGCCATTTACTATTTAAATTTAACATTGGAGGTACATTTGTTGTTGTTGTTAATTCTGGAAGCCATTTACAGTTTCTGTAGCTTACTGAAAAAAATCTATGTTTTATTAGGATGCAGGATATCCGCAGGTTCCCATCCTGGATTTCCCCAAATCTAATGGAGGGCTGAAGAGGAGGAAGAGACACTGGGCTATGCCTCCAATAAGTGTTTCTGAGAATCAGAGAGGACCATATCCCATGCATCTTGTTCAGGTGAGATGAACTGAACCATAAAAATGGCATCCAGGCAATAATAATAAAAAAAAATCTATTATCATACCTTGTGTTTTTAAGGTGTATACAGATTTATGTTTCCATTCTACCATTGGTGAGTTTACCAAAGCTGAATTCTACTCCCTTGAATAACTAAATTATTTGCTGAATTGTTTGCTAAAACTAGTAATAGTAATAAACACCATCTATGCATGATGATCACTGCTACACTTTAAATGGAAATGTTCATTTTACTGTCATAAGCTCTAAGCAACGTAATTTTGTTTCGTATACCGTCGGTGTGCTGGTTAGGATTCTCAGTTATCCAGGTCATAGTCATTCTCAAAAAAAGTAAAAAAAAATTTAACCAATAGACTTGACTGTTTTCCAAGTTTGAAGACGCTTCCCCTTCCAACCAGGGAACTTTTTCAATTCAGAATGTCAGAAGTAGCATTGAGTTCCAAGCTTTATAGAGTAGCCCAACAAAGCCTTGTTTTGGCTTAGAAAAGATGCAATTGAACTGGAAGAACAGGTCTGCCTCTTAGTAATAAGGGTTGTTGAGGTCTGTGTTAACCTGCAATACCTGATACTGGTATATGCCCCTGAAAAGGGGTGAGTTGTTAGGGGAATTGTTGTCCTACTGACCAGGTGAGATGCTTCTCTCCCCTGTTTGGTGAAGAGGATTATGAAAGAGGGAAGGAATCAACTGTATCGCTGCATTGTAGGTTTTTGAAAGCTGAAACCTGAGTCCGCCTCCTGTGTGTAAGATTGATTTTTCTGTTTTAACATAAATGGCTTCCTTCACAACCCTTTCAAACCGTCTTCTTTGTCCAAAATGTGAACATTCTTGTCCTCAAATTAATTTCTTTTGTCCATAAGGTGTAGATGTACCGCCTAGCTTTCTGGAGGAGATAGCTCTCCTGTGTTGGGCCATGCATCTGTGGAGAGGTTGTTTGGTTTCTCCAATATAAAGATCACTGCATTGAACTGCATACACCACCCCAATCATATTTGGTCTAGGACAGAGGCATAGACCAGTATCTGGTATTGCAGGCTAACAAGGACTATAACGACCCCTAATGCTAAGGGGCAGACCTGTTTTTCATGTTCAATTGCAGGTGTACACTCTGTGTATACGAAATGACACTAAAATTTGTCTGAGTCTAAAATCCTTTAGCCAGGCAGCTGTTTTAGGTTACAGTTAGTCCTAGCTGTTGGTGCTGTCGCCTACATTAATGCCTCCCTTTAAGTTATTTTATAGGTTTAAAACTTTTCTCATGCATGTTTCATTCTGTCCAGATACGCTCTAATGTAGATAAGTCAAAGACGATCCATTACAGCATCACTGGTCCCGGAGCAGATCAGCCTCCCAATAATCTTTTCACCATGGACAGGAAGACTGGTAATCTGTATGTCACACAGAAACTGGACAGAGAGGAACAGGCGGAATACAAGGTAACTAGTTTTCTTTTCAATGCTGCTTTAAAAGATAAAGTTATTATTAATTGGAACAATTAACAACACCGAGCTTTAAACAGAACCCACAAAACATACTTGTTAATAAAATGAAATGTTCCTTTCTATAGCTTGTGGTTCATACTGTGGCAGAGGGAAGTTCTGGAAATGCAGAAGATCCTATGGAAATAATAATCAGAGTAATCGACCAGAATGACAACAAACCCGTTTTTAATCAGACTACCTATGAGGCAGAGGTTCCTGAGGCCTCACCAAAAGGTAAAGTAACCTGGTTCAGGAAGTGAACCTACAAGGAGGGAATTGTGCTATTTTTTACTAGAGTAAATCAGATACTAATACATAACACACTTAAAATCATTGTATTACTATAAACTACCTGAATTCAGTTGGCCTTGTAGTGAACTTTATAAAATTCCTAAGATCTTGAGGGAAAAAAAACATGTCATATACATAAATTGTTTATCAACCCACGCCCCACTGGCTTTGTGTTAGAACAACAAATAAAAGTGTGAATCAAGCTTAAATCATGGTCAAACTGATAATTCTGCACATATATTTAAATAAATTCACCACAACTTTATTAAAAACAGAAGAGTTTATTAACAAAAACTATTCAGCCCAAAGTTAAACATACTTCTCAACTGAACTAAACTTCTATGAACAACGAAGAAGGAAACACATGTCTGAAAATAATAATCAATAAAATGAAGCGATGATATCAGAGTTAGGAATGGATTTTATATGTGGGATCCAAGGTTTATCTTGAAGAATTCATAATGAGGTTGAATTAGCTTTTAACTAATTTAGAACAATAGATTATTATGGACATGCAGTTTTCGACAATTCCACAAAATATGCCGTTCAGAACGCTAAAAACCAGGCTATTACCACCAACGCCTGCTGGAGCTATGGCCACAAAATGTTTTAAACAGAGCCACTCTCGATTGTTTTAAAAGCTGTGGAGTGCTATGGATGGATGGAGACAACACAGCGGGGTCTGGAGAAGGCCAGGTCAAGGAGGAGGCCGGAGGGATCGGTGTGCTAGGCGATGTAAGAGGGGTAGCAGAGGCGGGCTAAAGGCGAAACTAAGAAGGAATCCCCACAGAGCACCGATCCCATCAATCCTGCTCTCCACCGTCTGTTCACCGGATAACAAAATGGATAATCTCCAACTGGAACTCTCTACAATAAAGGAGTTTAGTAACTGCTGGGTCATCATCCTGACTTAATCATGGCTTCATTCATCGATACCGGACAATGCTATTAGCCTGGAGGGGCTCACGCTATACAGAGCCAATAGAAACAAAGAGCTAAGAGTTAAAAACAGAGGCGGGGGGGTCTGTGTTTACATAAACAACAGCTGGTATAAAAATATTACATTGTTCGCTAGCTTCTGCCCTCCAGACATTGAGTTTCTGACTGTTAACGGCAGACCTTTTTATCCGCCCAGAGAGTTCAGTATTACCGCTGTTTATGTGCCTCCCAGCGTTAATATAAAAGAGGCCACGAAGACTCTATACCAGGCTTTCTATGAGCTTCAATCTTCACACATAGAGGACGTTTTCATCATCAATTTTCTAAATTGAAAATTGTGCTCTTCAATGACTGGGAGGGCCATGGAGAAACTCCGGGATTGTTTTGAATGTACTGACTGGAACATGTTCAAAGCTGCAGTAACCTATGACAACAACAAAAAATAGATGAGTATGCCATGACTGTATCAGCCTACATCAACAGAAGCATTGAAGACGTCAGCATCACAAAGAAAATCACCACCCACATAAACCCACGAGCCAGGATGAATGGGAAGGTTCAGAGATCGCTAAAAGCACGGAACTCAGCTTTCAAGTCTGGTGACAGAGTGGCACTGAGAACAGTGCGTGCAAATTTGAACCGTGCCGTTAGATGAGCGAAGCAGAACCACAGCTGGAAGATCCAGGATCTTTTCCACGATGACAGCAACACCAGAAGGATGTGGAAAGACATATAGGAGATGACAGACTATAGAAAGCCTCCTCAGAAGGTTTAAACACATTTCTTGCCCCAACCATGACCAGTAGTCAAGCAGGCGGAACTTACATAGTTGGTATTTCGAGAGAGGAAACCCACTCGTAGCATTGATAAGTTCAAGCTCTGGATATTGGGTTGAGGAATCATTTAAAATAACTCATGTGTAAACTCTTTAGGTCACAAAGTCCATGGTGTGCTTTTAAACAAATTTATAATATAAGAGCCAATTAGCTTAACAAAGTCTCCTGTGGAGACTGGAGCTAGTCTAGGGTTTATTCTTTATACATCATGTGCATTGTCATTCTGTTAGCCAGATTAGACAGAGTAGAAGGCCTTCCTTCACATGGTGGAAGTAACTGTGTGTATGGAGCTCATCTAATCAGGACACTCTTCGTGTCTTTAGAAATACACAGGATATGGGCACATCTTGGAGCTGGTCTGATAAAGGTGAGCTATCTGTAATTCTTGGGGATAGAGGCAAGATGCAGGTTCAGGACATGGATGGCGTGTCAGTTTCTGATACGAACAGCTGAGCTTCCACCTGATGCAACACATAGACTTATGAGGTATAAGAAGCAGGAGATGACCTTGGGCTCAATCTTTTCCAGACGCTCGCTGACGTTTTTTGAGCCCACAGCTGTGCAAGCTCCAAGCATTTTCTCTGTCTTGTAACGACCTGATCTGGAGTAAACTCTGTTACTTTTTTACTTCTGTTTTTTTATTCCTTTTTCATATGGTTTTACCCAGTTTGAGTTAAGAGTAGTAAATAACTTGCTCCCAGGAAAAGAACCGGTAGGGAAGTTCTGAGGCGCAGCCGCTATCAGGGGGACATAACTTCCATATTAAAGTAGTTTTGAAACTTTGCTTAAATTTTCCTTTTCTATGTCTGCTTTGTATATTTAACCCCAGTTGGCCTCGGCAGAAGGCCTTCTTCTGCTGGAGGTTACTTCCTGTTCAAAGGGCCTTTTTTATCTCTGTTGCTGCATGGCCAGAACACACCGAATCCGATTTTGCATGCATTCCAACCGAAAATCATTGCGCTCATTGAAAATCAATGGGGATGATCACACCTGCCACGAGTTTCTGCATGGGGCTGCGTAGCTCTAGAAAAAGCAAATAGCTCAAGATAAAGCAAATCTAAACAGCTTAACAGTTTCTCTCTTTATTTGGTATATATATCTGCCCTAAACAATAATCAACAGGAGTTTTTAGCTCGATATGATTGTAAACAGTCCATTGCATTGGACTTTTTTTTGCAATTTTTTAAAAATATTTTAACTATTCATGCAAAGTATTATGGCACTTGGTAAAGAAGTTTATCGATACTTTTACAATATGTAGAAAGTTTAAACCTTATGTTGGCTGGTACTGTATGCGCTCTGTTTTCAGAAAGGCATCTTTTGTGTCTGCAGACAGACCGGGCATAAAACAACGTCCCTCTCTGCATGCAGAAACCGTTGGGCTCAAAAACCAACAACCTTCTGGGACTTTCAACCGCTACCCATGCAGCTCACACGACTAGCGTTTATTTTTTTCTGGTATTCACATTCACGAGAAAAAAAATATCACTCTGAGTCATTTCTCTGTCCTCAGCTGTATAAAACTCTGCTCACTTCAGAACCAACAACACAGCAAAAATGCTTCAGGGTCACCCCCCTTAACCTGGCAAACCCAGGACCAACAGGTTTGCCTTTTTTTCCTATTAAGTAAACCACAAAAATTTTTAAATTCAGTAACTGATATATCCTTGTGTCCATGCATAATAAAACAGATATATATGTCTAAAATAAGTTTTTGTGTTTATTTTCCATTGTAATAAAACTAATAAAAACCAGAAACCTTAAGCTGTGTCTGCTAATCTAAACACCTACCAGTATCCATTTTTTAATTAAGTCATCCTGCTATGTTTAATCCATAACCTATCTTTGGTCAATTATAATTTTTAAAGTGGACCTGTTACCCTTCATTTTAGAGTTTATCAGCCTATAGCTTGTTACTATGATTTGACATCAGTTTATGGCTGCACTAACTTATCTTGGCAAAAGTAAAAATAGCTCACACACTGGACATTTCCTCATTCATCTGGGTTATCTTTGTTCTTAGTAGAAAAGTAATTGAGTATTTTTTGGTCTGGAAGCCCTTTGATACCTCAATTATTAATGCTGTAAGTCTCAATTTTTTTGTGATATTATTTAAACCCCATTCTATAACATTACAAATCTAGTGTTTTGTTTCCTTCAGTGTTGTTTGTTGAAGTAATTAGACTTAATTCTAACCGGATTTCAACCCTGTTGCAGTCAATGTTTTTACTCGTTAAAGTTTTAATTTTTGGTTAAAGAAACACATATTATGACAATGTTTATTAAGAACAAAACATTATCTAATGTTTATCTCAAAGTTCACTTTCATTAAGTTTTATAAGTTACCACATTCTACTTGACAGTCGAAACTGTCATGAAACGCGGAAAGAGGGACCCAGTATTCAAGGAGAGACAGTCAGTAGGAAAGTTCAAAACGTTTATTACATAAAGCAAAACAAAAGCGGAGCTGTGGCTTGCAGACACTGCAGGATGGGAAGCGGGGCACCGCCCAATCACAGACACTCTGCAGGAGAAACACAGTTAAGTGACCACAATCATCTGACTGAAGATGATGTTCTCAGTGAGTCACTTACCTGGTTTAGCAGTTCAGTCCATGAATGCCCCCAAGTGCTGCAGTTCCAGAGGACATGCTGGAAGCCGATCCTGGTCAGGGATCCAGAACAGACAGGAACAGAAACAGGTGGCAGGATCCAGACTTCCAGGCATCCACAGGCTTCCAGGAGGATTCAAAGTCAGACTGGGACCAGAAGCATGACCAGGTGGTCATGCACAGGAGCAGAAAGGATCAGGTGCAGATGAGCAGGCTCAGTGGAAGAGGGTAGCAGAGACAGGACGTGGAACCAGAACTAGATGCAGGACTTTAAACTGGTCTCCTCCCTGGAGCCAGGCTTACTGGAATAAAAACTGAACCTCCCCACATATAGAGCCAAAAACCCCGAGGACTCCGCAGGGGCGGAACAGTGGACGATCAGGAGACGAGACAAGCACTAAAACCCTCTTTCCACTGGCCGCCAGGATCCAGGGCATGAACCAAGGCAAAAACTGAATGGACAGACTAACAAAAAGACAAGTAATGATCTGGCACTGAATGCTCAGGCTGAACTGAATATAAACCAAAGGAAACAGGTGAGAGGAATACATTATAATTGAGGCAGAGGGAAAACGACAGGTGAAAGGAATTACTAATTAAGGGAGAGCAAACAGGCCAGATCATGACAGAAACATTATAAGTTAGAATAGTATAAAATAAACGTATAAGCTCTTTTACACAAGGAAAAAGGGGATAAAAAGACAACTGAAAGAATTTGTTTCTCTTTAGGTGCTACAGGAATCAAAGTGTCCCAGTAGAAGGTTGAATCTAAAACAGTATAAGCCGATATAACCGAGAGGTTAATATTTGGTTGGGTTCTCAGAAGTTTAAATTATACCTCGGCAAAAAAATAAAATGAAATTTATATATATATATATTCATTTATTATTAATTTATCTGCATTTTATTTCCTCTTCTTAAGGTTTCGAGGTGATCCAAGTTGAGGCCACAGATGCTGATGAGCCAGATAATGACAACTCTGCCATCCGCTATCGGATTATGAGCGAGGAGCCTCAAGGACCCAGTCCATCAGTGTTTGCAATAGACCCAGTCACTGGTGTCATCACAGTCAATGCTGAAGCACTGGACAGAGGGGTACTTAAAGCAGAATATAAAAGAGATTCATCCCAACAGCCTGAATTTACTTTGTCTTCTATCTCCGCTCACAGAAACACCCCCAGTACACTCTGCTGGTAGAAGCGGCAGATTTAGCAGGGGAGGGACTGGCTGCGCAAGCTAAAGTATTGATCACTGTGTCCGCAAATGATGATAACCCTCCAGTCATCTCTCAGCCTGCTGTAAGTAAATAAAATAGTGTTTTATTAAATAATGTATTATTTCTGTGCAATTTATTTCTAATACATGCTTAAAAACAAACCAGTTGAAAAAATTTGGTGTAATTCCATCTAAATATCCCATATTGATCCCAGATAGAGATTAAATGTTGCTGCTAACGTCACTTATTAAAACTTCATTGCAACACCAGAAAATTAAATCAATTAAAATGACTCCCTTTTTTCATTATGTTCTTACCATCAGATTTAACCCTGCAGAGGTTGAACGATGGAATATTTTTTAGAAAATGTATTTTATTTTAAACAACAGAAAATGTAACTTTCTGAGAGATGAAAGAAATCCATTGATTACAATGTTAAATAATTTCAACACTATTATTGAAATTTTCAATACAGCTTATTTATATAGCGCCAATTCACAACACATGTCATCTCAAGGCACTTTACAGTTCACCAGATCATCCAGTCAAATTATTAATTAAAAGTTTTCCGTCTAATTAAAACCAGTTGATTGAATCGAATCGTCGACTCGAAGTCACTCCCTCACACTAAGCATACTTGTAGTGACAGTGGAGAGGAAAAACTCCCTTTTAACAGGTAGAAACCTCCCGCAGCTGAGGCTGACTGGGGTCCAAGGAGACAGAAGCAGAGATAGAAAAAGGCAACTGTCAACCAGCTAAAAAGCTGCCAAGTCAAGGGAACACACAGCCAGGCAGAAGAGCTCCAAGTGCACATCTAGCTAGTCACAGTCAGAGAAACAGGACTACACTGAAAAACAGGTAGATCTCTTACATCTATAACAAAGGTGTTGATGGCAGCAGCACAGCAGATATTTCTCTCCAGGATGGAGTCACAGCCAAACAGGAACAGACTAGATGAAGCTACAGTACTATGAGAAAATGCACAGAGAGCAGAACGTTAGAGATGGAACTAACAGATTTTGCAGAGTGGGAGAATAGAGAGAGAATGAAGCAGAAGGAAAAAAGGGGTCCCTATGTCCTCCAGCAGTCTAAGCCTATAGCAGCATAACTATAGAGATAGCTCAGGATAACCTGAGCCACTCTAACTATGAGCTTTATCAAAAAAGAAAGTTTTAAGCCTAGCCTTAAAAGTAGACAGGGTTTCTTCCTCATGGCCTATCATTTGTATCATTTATAAAACACTAGGCATTTCCATGCAATTAATTATGCATTTTCTAATTTCGACATGTCATTAAAGAAAAATATATACATACTGTACTGATTACATAAAAAAGCAACGGTATCAAATGTATTTCTAATGACAAGACAGGGTTAATAGTGTGAGGCTTTTTTCCTTTTTTTTTTAGAAATTCAATAGATAGTGACGAATGGGCATTGTACTATCCGTTATCCTGAGACAGAGGAACTGTTCCACTAAGATATATTGTATAAGTATATATGTGTGGTAATGTACACCATAGATGAACCAGGCGGCATTAGAACCCACAGTCTCCTGTGTGAAACGCAGTGGCACTGACCAGTCAGCCAAATGGATATACTCCTCACAAAGCGACCTGGACGCATCATCACAAGGAGGCATAGTGACAGGACCAGACTGCCAAGCATGTACAAACTGAGTAAAAAGTTCAAAGTCTGAAATGTCAGATGCTATTCTGAACCCTCAAACACCAACATATAATTTCTTCACCTAAGCTAACTGAACAGGGACAGAGCTTTAGCATTACCAATACTGCATCCAGATCAATTTCACATTAAGGAAGGAAACTGTGTGATCTTGATATTTAAAAAAAAAAGAAAAGAAAAAAGGCTGTGCTCATGTGGTAAGGTAGACAACAGAGGCCACAGGTGGGATTCAAACCCCAGACTCCCAAAGGCAAGTCTTGCACACTGACCAGTCAGCCAAAAAGATATCCTATTGGTGAAGTAGCCATAGTGCATCATCAGTCGGAAGGCAGCCATTGCTTGAGTAACAATGTACGTACAGCAGGACGTTTTAATCATTAGACACACACGGCCTTTATCAGTCATCAGTCATCTTGGTGGGATAACCTGTAACATTTCTGTTAGAAATAACCTATGTTTTGCCTGTTAAGGTTACCATGCCTCAGAGTTCCCATTGGTTTGCAAAGAAAAAGATACCGGTAGTCAAAAATGCATACCAACTATTGTTATAAATTGTCACATCGCATCCTCTTGTCAGTTCACAAGCCCTTATTAATGCAATTAATTCAACAGCCTGTGCTGAATGATGTGACTGAATTTCCTCCCTACTTCCTCCCTAATTTTTTGTGTTGTGTTTATCTACCTTTCAGGACTTTAACCGGTTTCTTTAACTGTTTCACCTTTTTCAACTTTAACTGTGAACTTTAATCACTTTTGCAGGGAACTTTACTCACTCGTCTACCTTTGCGGGGGACTCTTAACCCCCTGTCTTAACACTTACTTGGTTTGGTTGCCGTAAATCCCGTCAATCCCTTGTCGGCGAAAGGAGGTAACCTATGACACTGACCCAGCAAGGAAATTATCTCCCGGGTCTTTCCTTTCAGATCCTAGATTCTGACCACTGGTGGTTTTCAGGACGTTGCTTCTCTCGTCAACAAGTCGAAACGGCACCAGGCTGTTAGGGTTAATGATAATAACCTCGGATTTTCCTAGAAATAAACCAACACAAACACAGTTACTTTTCTGCAGAAGAGGAAAGTGTACCTCCTCACCCGTCCAGATCATGGAACCAGGTGTTCCAATCAGTCCCACGGTCACAGGTGGATAAAATCAAGCAAACTGTTAACATTAATATGCAGATGGATCACTCTCAGGAGCTCAGTGAATTGCAGCATTGATATGTGACAGATCATGTCAACTGTGCAACGAAACCGGTGGTGAAATTTCTCCAAAGTCAACTTTCAGCTGAATCAGCAGAAAATGGAAGGGTTTGGGAACAGCGGCAACTCAGTCAACATTTGGTTTGCCACGCAAACTAATGGAACCGGGTCAGCGATGCAAAGCAGTTGCCTCTGGACACCAGCGCAGTCGAGACGCATTCTCTGGAGTGAAGAATCCCGCTTCTCCCACTCTGGGTTTGGTGGTTGCCAAGGGAACAGGACTTGTCTGACTGTATTGTGGTGGAGGGGGGATCATGGTGTGGGGTTGGTTCTCAGGAGCTGGGCTTGGCCCCTTAGTTCCAGTGAAAGGAACTAAGACATTCTGGATCATTCCATGATCCCAGCTTTGTGGGAGCAGTTTGGATCTGCATCCTTCCTCTTCCAACATGGCACAGAGCAAAGTCCTTAAAGACATGGATGGCAGAGTCTAGTTTGATGAACTGGACTGGCCTGCAGAGGGTCATGACCTAAACCCAATAGAACACCTTTGAGGTGAATTAGAGGAAAACTGAGAGCCAGACCTTCCAGGATGTGACCTCCCAAATGTACTACTGAAAAAATGGTTAAAAAAAATTCCCATTAACACTACGGCTAATGGACAGCTTGCTCAGGATAGCTGCAAGGGGTGGACCGGCATCATTGAACCCCATGGGTCAGGACAGGAATGTGACTGAAGCTCACTGAGATGAGGAGGGGAACTTTGTCCAGTATACTGTATATTAAATACAATTAATAGAATATGAACAACAAAATATTCTTGAAGCTTGTAACACAGCTTGCAAGCTATACTCACAGCTTAACGAAAAAATTTATGTTTTTCAGGATGCAGTGAATCCAGAAGCTCCCGTCCTGCTTTTCCCCCAATCTAGTGGAGGGCTGGAAGAGAGACTGGCCAGTCCCTACAATAAGTGTTTCTGAGAATCAGAGAGGACCATATCCTTATAAGCTTAATCAGGTGAGACAAACTGAACCATAAAAATGGCATCCAGTCGATTTTTTTTTCTTTCATCTTTTATCTTTAAGGTGTATTCAGATTTTTTTTTCTTTTCTACCATCGGTGACTTTACCAAAGCTGAATTCTGCTCCCTTCCATGAATAAATTGTTAGTAGTAGTTTTGGTCTGTTATTTAACATTAGTAATGTTAATAAAATTCTTTAGCCAGGCAGCTGTTTTAGGTTACAGTTAGTCCTAGCTGTTAGGGCTGTCACCTGCACTAATGTCTGTCTTTAAGTTATTTTCTTGTTTTAAAACTTTTATCATTGATGTTTCATTCTGTTCAGATACGCTCTAGTGACGATCACAACAAGAAGATCCATTACAGCATCACTGGTCCAGGAGCAGATCAGCCTCCCATTAATCTTTTCACCATGGAAAGGAATACTGGTAATCTGTATGTCACACAGGAACTGGACAGAGAGGAACAGGCGGAATACAGGGTAACTAGTTTTCTTTTAATGCTGCTATAAAAGATGAATAGTTTTTATGTAACAATGTTAATATTTTCAAGAAATACTCAGATCAAAATTTGATGAATATAAATGTTTAGTCACCTGTGATGAAATCAATTAAATATAGTTAATTATAATTGGAACAGTATAAACCCTAAACGAATAACTTGACCCACAAAACATACTTGTTAATAAAATGAAATGTTCCTTTCTATAGATCTGGGCTCATGCTGTGGCAGAGGGAAGTGCTGGAAATGCAGAAGATCCTATGGAAATAATAATCAAAGTGATCGATCAGAATGACAATAGCCCCGTCTTTAATCAGTCTACCTATGAGGCAGAGGTTCCTGAGGCCTCACCCAAAGGTAGGTCATATATCATCTATATCAATCATATATCAAAAATATTTATTCAGGCAAACTAATAAATATCTAAACTGCCTGTTATAATCATGATAACATTATGTGTGGAAAACTAGTTTACTGATTGAATGGTAGTGGGTCAGTGCAGGGCAGCTGAAAGGCTTTGCCAGGCAACACCAGCCTGTGTGCACAGTTTCTTTCATGCCCTGGAAATCTTTCATAGTTTGTTATGTTTTATGTTGGATATTTTCATCCCATCTATAGAATTTTGTGCACTAGTTGATATTTTCTGTACTTCATAAGAGAACAGTATGGCAGGTAATATATGGCCATTTTTGACCTGTTGTATATTAGCCAGTCCCTAACAATTGTTTGCCCTTCCATTGTGGGAGGTAGAATAGGTTAGATACTCTGGAAATTCTCTGCCCTCTGAATCTGCTGGTAGTTCATTTGCCATCTCTGAGAAAGACTTCCTTTTTGCTATTCAATGCACAACATTCCCTGGATCAAAATCAGTAATTTTTGTTGGCCACAGTGCAGGATCATTGAAATTAATGGCGTGATCTGTCTCTGAGCCACTATGCTCAGACACTCCGATCAGGCAGCAAGCCCCTGCAGCTGCACTGTCTCCGTTATGAGTAGGGATGGCTCTCTGTCTCCTCCTCAAACAGACGCTGTCACCCTCCGCCCCCCGCAGCAGCGACGAGAGAACTGCTACGCTGTCCTCTTTTATTTTTAATATTTACTCCCAAAATCCCTCAAGCCTTTGGTGTCATCTTCCCTTTTTCTCTGAAAACCTGACATTCTTAGTTTGCAGCAAAATTTACTAAAAAAATTTAGTAAAAAAAAATATATATAGGTGTTTATGCATCCATGTTATAAATTGAATTTTTAAATTAGAAGAAAAAAGAAAGTTTTTCCATTTTAAAATCTAAAGTGTTTTTTGAAGTAGAGAACAGCAAGCTTTCAGTTTGGTATAAAGACAATTTTCTGATTCACATGTTTTTTAAAACACCTGAACTGACTGTTATTTTATTTTTATTTTTTCTGTCTTAATGAGAGCAGCGGGCTTTATGCTGCCCTGCAAGGCTTTAAACCTGGGTTTGAATGGAGACAAAGCCATTCTAAAGCACATATCAAGGAGCTCATTTTGAGCCTGGATCCATATTTATTTTTGATTCTGTTCATGATGGAGAATCCTGCTTCACAGCAGCAGGTTGAGCCAAACATCCTCTAAATGTTCAGGCTCCGCTCCGGTCCAGCCAGGTCAAGATCCGCTACGGCAATCGCACCAAACAGGAAAAAGAACAGTGAGAAGGTCTGGTTCGTCAAATTTAAATATAGTAACAACCTACCGGTAACTACAAATTAGAGCATAATTCATATATATTTCAAAAAACTTACTGTGAGGAGCTAGGTGCTGGACCCAGAATGCAGTCAGCCAGACTAGGAGAAAGAAGCAAAGTTTATTTTTGGTTTACAGGCAGACAGGGAAGGAAGGCGTTTCTGGAAGCAGGGGCAGTTTGAGGTGGAAGGCAAGCTCTCTGCAGCAGGTGGAGAAGAGGGGGGTGGGTGGTGTGGCTTGGTAGCTGGAGACTGATTTGGAGCTGGATCCTAGGTAGACAGAGCACAGGTAAGATTAATATTTACAACTTCAAAAGCTGAAGTAATTACTTCCACAGTTACTACCAGCTAACGGTGACCATCAGGCAGTGAGCGCACAGGAAGCCAGGCTTCAAATACTGCTCCAGATGAAGATCAGTGTCAGCTGTGTGCAGCCAGCTCCTTCCAAGCCACACCTATCAGAGAGAGGGAGAGAGACGACAACCTAACTGCACCCAAATCAGGCTCAGACTGTAATGTTCCTGGCTCTGGAGCTGCTAATTGCAATCAGTGCACCTGTTCTCTCTCCTCCCCTCCTGCTTAAAAGCTCTGTCCCTCCTGCCTCCAGTGCCAGAACGTCTCAAGGCTCTTGGTGAGAACTTCCAGCCTATTGCTTTTGTGCATCTGCCTGTCTGAACCTCGACCTGTTTTTGTCCCAGTTTTTCGAGATTGCCTTACCCCCTTTCTGGATTTTTGTCTGCCCGCCTGAGCCCTGCTCGTCAGCCTCAGAGATCTGGACTGCCAAACCGTGTTTCTGACCCAGCCTGCCTGTGAGTAACTGAGATTGCCTGCCCCTTTGCACTGTGTTGCTTCTGTGGATATTGAACTGGATTTGGACTCGGAACTTCCCCTGGATTCCCCCTTGGATACCTCTGCTGGATTTACGGACTCCCCCATCGTCAAGACCCGGACCGAACCTAGGTTTTCCCCAGCACGGACTCCCTCCTCTCCTGAAACCGGACTGAGCCCAACCGAGCCTTCTTGTAGCCAGGTTAGTGACCAAGTTCCTTACTCAAACATCTGCCTGCCTCCACTGGTCACTAACCACCACTCTGTCTATAGGAACTGCCTGTCGCTGAGCCTGATCGTTCTTCCCGGGAGTCCGTGCCACCCTCTCTCTTAAATAAAGACTGTTAACGCTTCACTGACCTGTTTGCGGGTTGTCCTTGGGTCCATCCATCTCCACTACAGTAATCCATTACAGTACGTTCTGGCCAAAAGAATGGAAAACATGGACCCTGCACCCGGGGATCAGTGGCGCGCGGGGGTAGAAAAGTCTATTTCTGACTTAGAAGCCGGCGTTTCGGAGATCCTCAATCATCTCCGAAACCAGGCTACCCCACAGCCTCCACTTCCGCAAGCAGCTCCTCCGAGTTCCCCGTCACTTCCGGTGACGTCATTTCCGTCAGAGCCCCGTCTCTCTCCGCCTGGGCTTTTTAGTGGCGATCCGGAGCATTGTCGGGCTTTTCTTACACAGTGTGAGATACATTTCGAGCTGCAGCCATCCTCCTTCCCTACTGACCGGTCTAGGGTCGCCTATGTTATTTCCCTGTTGGCCGGTAAAGCCAGACTGTGGGGAACCTCCGAGTGGCAGAATGATACACACATCTGCCACTCGTATGATGACTTCTCCAAAGAGCTTGTGAGGGTGTTCAGTCCCGTGCTCCCCTGCCGGGAGTCCTCTAGGGGGCTCTTATCTCTTAGACAGGGGGATAGATCAGTGGCTGATTATATTATTGATTTCCATTTACTGGCTGCAGAGAGATGAATATGCCCTCATGGATGTTTTTATTCATGGTCTTAATGACAAGATTAAGGATGAGCTGGCCACCCGGGATTACCCTAAGACCCTAAGTCAGCTTGAGGAGCTTGCCACTAGGGTAGACCTCCGTCTAATGGAGCGAAGAAGGGAACGTCGCTCTAACCCCACAACCCATCCTCAGTTTTCGGCTCCTCCTCCTGTTTCATCTCCGGTTACTCTTAAGCCCTCTGAACCTGAACCTATGCAGCTGGGCAAGGTGGGCCTGTCAAGAGATGAGTACCAGCGCAGACAGCAACAGGGACTCTGTCTCTATTGCGGGGGGGATGGCCATCAAGCTCGGTCTTGTCCAGCAAAAGACAAAGCTCAGTAGGGGGTGGGGGATCCCTACTGAGCTACACCAAACTGGCCGTCTCCTCTGACCGTTTACTTCCAGCCACTCTAACCTTCTCTTCTAAGTCCCATAGTTTGTCAGTTTTCATCGACTCAGGAGCCGACACTGAGTTCATGGATGAAGGTTTGGCCGGAAGATTGAGTATCCCACTCCACCCTGGCTCATCCCCCCGCAGTGTGCTCGCCCTGGATGGTCACGAACTCAACCAGTCACGCCTCGTCTCTGAACCTGTGGAGCTAACGATGGGAGGTAATCATAAGGAGATGCTGACTTTTATGATAATTGACTCCCCGCAGGTCCCTGTTATCTTGGGTGCCACCTGGCTCCGTAAACACAATCCCCAGATTGACTGGCTCCAGAGGTTTCTGGGGTTCGCTAATTTCTACAGGAGGTTTATTACCAACTACAGTCAGGTCGCTTCTCCACTCCACGCTCTCACCTCTAGCAAGGCCAAGTTTATTTGGAACGAGCAGGCAGAAATTGCCTTCAAACGCCTTAAGGAACGGTTCACCTCCGCACCTATCCTCGTTTCCCCCGACCCGGAGAGGCAATTCATTGTGGAGGTAGATGCCTCTAGTTCTGGGGTAGGGGCTGTCCTTAGCCAGGAGTCCGGTGATGGCCGCATTCACCCTTGTGCTTTCTTTTCCAGGAAGTTGTCAAAATCAGAGCAGAATTATGATGTGGGCAACCAGGAGCTCTTGGCGGTTAAGTTGGCCCTCGAAGAATGGAGGCACTGGCTCGAGGGTTCCAAGCTTCCATTCTTGGTCTGTACTGACCACCGCAACCTGGAATATCTCAAGACTGCTAGGAGACTTAACCCCAGACAGGCCAGGTGGGCTTTGTTTTTCAGTCGTTTCAACTTCACCCTTTCCTACAGGCTGGGTCCTAAGAACATCAAGCCCGACGCCTTGTCCAGGCTCTTCGAGGCAGTAGACGACGACCAAGAACGGGGGTTCATCCTGCCAGACACAGTAAGGTGTGCTGTTTCTCGCCTCGGGCTCGAAAAGGAGGTAAGGGACTCTCTAGGGTCTGTACAGATACCCGAGGCCTGTCCCAAGTACAGGCTCTTTGTCCCTCTCCACCTCAGACCCAAAGTCGTTGATCTCTGTCACAGCTCTCGCCTTTATGGTCATCCTGGCATCAACAAAACCATTCGGCTCATCCGATCTCAGTTTTGGTGGCCTTCTCTGGCCAAAGACGTCGGTGAGTTCGTCTCTGCCTGTTCCCCCTGCAATCAGGCTAAGGCTTCCCGTCGCCCTCCGTCAGGTCTGCTTCGACCTCTGCCCATCCCTTCTCGGCCTTGGTCCAGCCTTTCTATGGACTTCATCACTGGTCTCCCCTCCTCCGACGGCTTCTCAGTTATCCTCACAATTGTGGACCGTTTCTCCAAAATGGTCCATTTGGTTCCTTTACCCAAGCTCCCCTCAGCCAAAGAGATGGGGTTGATCCTGGCCAAGGAGGTGTTTA